CTCTTCCTGAACTTCCTATTCTGTTCCATTGATCTGTTTGCCTGTCCCTGCCCCAGTACCACACTGTCTCAATTGCTAGAACTTTATGATATTGTTGTCATTAGGTGCCAGGCCATTGAGTCGATTTTGACTCATAGTGGTCCCGTGTGACAGAGTAGAAGTCTCCCATGGAATTTTTATGACGGTAACCTTTATGGGAGCAGATCGCCAGGTCTTTTCTCCCGCACAGCCGCGGGGTGTGTTTGCCAGCCTTTTGGTTAGCAGTCAAGCACTTAACCACTGCACCACCAGTTCTTATTAACTGATAATGTAAGTCCTCCAGGTCTATTCCTCAAGATGCTCTTTGTTCTTAGCCCTTTGTGTGCTGGCTTTGAGCCCCTTTTGTTGCTGGACTTGGGCTCAGCTGCAGCTTCTGGTTGTTATAATTGCCCCAAGGCAGATGCTGGCACCATGACACTACCTTATAGAGGAGGTCCCCAAGGCTTACTGAGGTGACCTGCCTACTGCACGGCTCTGGAACCCTGCCCCCTGGGCCCCTTCTGCGGCAGAACATTGCCCTCAGGGCTTGGTGTGAAGCTGGGGTGCCCACCTACACCACTGGTAACAATACTTTTCTTTAAATAAACTTCCTTTCCCCCTGATATTTCTAAAAAGGAACTGTGTAAGTGGAAAGTCAGTGTCACTCTTCATAAATACAAGGTAACTGAAAGAACCTTCAAAATAAAGTCAAAACAAGAAAAGGCATTCAGTTCGAGACTGATGCCATTGCTCGCAGAAGCCTCTGAGCCAGAGGCCTGCTCTTCCTTTGTTAAATTGGAGATGGCAAGGGCTAAGAGGTGTTAAAGACAGGCTGGGCCAAACCAGACCTCCTTGAAGGAGATTTGGAAGGGGAATGACTTTCTGACTTCTTTTTTGCCACACCAGAGTTCCTCTAAAATTGTCACAGTATTACCCCAGGCCTGCGATTTGGGAAGCCCTCCCTGGTGTGATATAGAGTCTGGAGACATAGGATCCAGCTAACAAGGCTATGGACTTTGGACAAATTCCTTGATCTTCTCATCTGCAAAATGGGTCTAAAACTTTCCCTTCTGCTTCTCTCACGGCTTTGGTGGTTGTAACTGTCCAGGGACGTCTCACTGGTGTCAGCCCCCCTTCCTCTTCAGCTGGAGCAGTGTGGCTTGCTGGGAGATGAGCCCTTTTCTGCCATATGCAGCTGGACTGCTCCCCACCACTCAGCAGGTCTGGGAGCAACATACTTGGCCATAGCCTCCTGGGCTCCAGAAGGAGGGCGCATACCATTTCCAAGGCAAGGACAGATGAGCTCCCCTAGGGCAGGGCTGAGAGGCAGATGCCACTTTGTTCCTAACCTTTGCCACCATAGAGACTAGTTCCAAGTAGGGCTGAGTGATGGCAGCTCAGAGGGATTAAAGATCTACCCATGTAATTATTATTGGTGATGATTGCACAGCGTGATTAATGTAGTTGATATCACTAAATTGTACATGTGAAAAATGAATCAGCAAATGTTATGTTATATGTATCTTTACAACCATTAAAGACAAACAAACAAAGAATACTTGTCCATGGGCACACAGAGGCTAGGTGGTACAGACTCAAAATCAGTTCTGACTGACCTGCCATTGGAACTGGGCAGGGACCAAAGGGAAGAGGGTAGGCTGAAAGAGCCACTGGGAAGCTCAGACTGCCCTGAGACCTCCTGGAGTTTGTGCCCGGCCACACACAGTGTAAAAAAATGTTTTGGAGACTGGAAGTCTGCAAGTGTTAGGCAAGTGTTGCCCTCAGGCTCAGGAAAGGATGCCCGAGGTGTAAAGGCCAGCTTTCCTGACTCCTGGTTTATCGGTGGCCTTCAATGTGGAGCCACAGGAGACAGCAAGGCTGAGAGAGAGGCTGGTGACTCCATGACCTCATGGAAATGTTGACCTGGTAGATGGAGTAGGAGGTCAACTTGGCAGATGGAGGGTGCAGGAGAGCAGTCTAAGCCTGAGGTACAGCCTGTGCAAAGGCCTGGAGCCTCAGAGCCTGACATAAGTAGGCCAGGGTCAGCCTGGCTGGCAGGAGTGAGGCTGGAGAGATAGCTAAACTGGGTCAGACCCGCAGCCAGCCCGGCCTGGCCCAAGTTCTCCTGGGCCCTGGCCCAGCTGAGCTTTCCCATCTCAGCCCCCACCTCCCTCCATCCTCACCGCAGGCAAGCCCTCCCAGCATCCTGGCTGCTTCATGGCCTGGAGAGCAGACATAACCTTCATTATCCACCAGCCCGGCTGTGTGACCTCAGCCAGCTCACTTTCACTCTCTGGGCCTTCTGTACTCTGAAACACTGGAATTGCAAGAGCTGATTTTTCATCTGCTGTTTTCAGCTTCTTGGATCTAATTCTTGCAGCTAAGTTGCTTCCTGCACTGCTGGAAACCTGTGGTGCTAATGACCATCATGGTGGCTGTCTGCCCAAGCCCAGGGCCTGCTCTCCAGTCTCCCCGCTTCTCTTTTCCCAGGCTCCCAGGCTGGAGCAGGGGGGAAACGGTCAGGGTTATTGGCCTCCCTGGGCAGAAGGGCAGTCAGAGGGGCTAAGTGATTGGCCTGAGGTTGTGCAGCAGTTACAGGAGCCCTGTATGGATGGGGGGCAGAAGAGGAAGTGGCTGTGGGTCCGGAGCAGAGGACAAACCAGCTCTCAAGCCCCCTTGGCAGGCAGGCACCATCCGGGCCTCCCTGTGTCCCAACCGACCCTCCATGTCCCACACTCTCTGCCCATCCTCACTTCCTCCCCTTCCTGTTTCCCCCTTCTCTGTAGAGTTGCCTCATCTTTCCCTTCCTGTGAGGCCCAGCTCAGCCAGGGTGTGTGTGCAGTGAGCTCAGTCGTTTTTCCTGGGCTGCGGGGTTGGGAGGCCAAGGTAGAAGCACCAAAGTCGGAGGGTCTGGGTCCGAGTCCAGACTCTGCCACTGGGCATGGGCAAGCTGCCTCACCTTGCTGAGCTTCAGTTCTCTTTTCTGAAAAATGGCAACAATGGTAAAGCCTTCCCAGTCCTGTTTGCAAGTAACATGCACAAACCCCTAGTGAAGTGGTTTGCTTGTGGTTGATGCCAGAGAAATGCTGGTTTCTCTGTCTCACGGAATGAGAGGTGGCTTGGCAGCTTGTTTTCTTGTTACCTGTCCCGAAAGGAGCACTGCTAAACAGTCTGCTCAGCGTTTGGTCAGTCATAATGGCATCTTCCAGTTATTGAAGCGACCTTTTTCGCATCGTAGAGGTGAGAATGGGGGCTCAGAGAGGTTGAGTGACTTATTCAGGGTCACCCAGGAAGTGAGTGGTGCAGCTGGGATTGGTACCTTGTCTGTGTTGCTCCCAGCCTACCTTGCCTTGGTTTCCGTCAGGGCTGGGCTGGGAAACTGTGGCCTTCCCTCTGTGGGGGTGTGGCAGTGGGTGTGTGGCATTGCTGTGACTGTCTCCAGTGCCCTGGGCAGTGCTTATTAGTCACCAGGAAGAGTACATCTGCAGGTGTGTGGAGCTCAGCAGCAGCTCAGGTGGAGTCTGGGATATGATGGCATAGATGAGGCTACCGTTTAGGTGCTTGGCTGTCTGGCCTATTTGTCTGGGTGCCTGATATGTCATGTCGGTCCTGCTGGCAGCCCCCACACCCTGGAGACCTTCCCTGGCCACGTCTGTCCAGTCTGTGTCCCTTGTGTTTGCTCAGCTCATGTCTGCAAGGTTCAGATACTGGGCTAGACCCACCTGGACTGGGGGCTGGAGGAAGGATGCTGGCATTTCTGACGATCTTCTGCCTCAGGCTCTGTACTGGGGCTGCATGTGCCACAGGAACAGAGCAAGAGAAGCCTGCACTTGGGGGCCTCTGGCCCAGTGTTGGTGCTTACCTTCTGTTCCCGGGATGGGAAATCAGGGAGGTCTAGGGGTCGATGAGGAGTTCAGTTTTAGATTGCTGACTGTGAGGGCCATGGTTCAACCAGGGCTGATCTGGGACCCAGAGGAGAGGTCCAGGCTCGACACGGGGGTCATTGGTGGAAAGGGGCATCATGGAAACCACCCCACAGAAAAGACCACTGAGCTTGGTGCGGCCATGGGGTGGCCCCAGACAGGAAGGGGAGATCAGAGATGAGGGAGGGTGCCAGCACTAGTGACAGACGTCTCTGAAGCCAGGGGGACAGTTTCAAGAAGACTGGTTCAGGAGTGTGAAATGCTGCTGAGGTCTGGGAGGCTGTTGTGGGAGAGAGTCTGAATTTGGAGTGGGAGGTCACATGGGGCTCTTGGAGAGTTAGGTCACTAGGATTAAGAAGTGATGAGTGTGCTCTCTACAGAACTGGGGACGATTACTCCAGAGGTGCGGTGAAAGAGGCAGAGTGCTGGAGGGAGGGCCAATAAAGAATGAATGAATATGATGGCTGGAGGGTACCCAGTCAAGGTGTCCACCAGAGCAGAAATGTGCCCTCTAGATGAGGGGTGAGTGTCTGGAGGGACCCTGGAGATGCTGCTGCCCTCCTGGTGGTGTGTCACCAGCCAGTGCACTGCTGGGGTCAGCTGCTGGTCTGCTTCAGTCGGGGGAGGGCTAGGGAAGGCTGGTGAAACAAAGAGAGGAAGGGAGGGAGGTGGGTGCTGCTTGGGCCAGCTCTGCGCACTGTTGAGCTCTTGGCCTGCAGTCTGAGATCAGCTCTGAGCACCGGAAACTGGAGACAATTCAGGCTGTGGATTCAGGCCAATTAGGTCCTCTCCATGCTCTGCCATGTACCAGCTGTGTGCCCTTGGGCAGGTCTCTCCTCTTCTCTGAGCCCCACTTTCTTGCCTGTGCAATGGGGTGACAATGCCCACTTTACAGGGCTGCCGGGAGGGGTACAGGAGGAATCACTAACTTGGTGTCCATACGAAGCAGGGACGCCAGGTACTCCATAAGTGACGATCCTCTTGCCTTCTTGCCTTCCCAGGGACCCCAGGAGCTGCCCACGTGCCCAGTCGGCCCTCCGCTGCCTTGTCTTGGCCTCCCCTCCCCAGGACAGTGGCCACCATGTTCTCGAGTGTGAAGCCTTATGAGGACCAGAACTACTTAGCCCTGAAGCGGGCCTGTCTGCGCAGGAAGGTGCTCTTCGAGGACCCCCTCTTCCCGGCCACTGATGACTCCCTCTACTATCAGGATGCCCCAGGGCCCAATGTCAGGTGGAAGAGGCCCAAGGTCAGTGTCTGGCGCCAACCAGAGCTGGATGAGTAGGGTGGGTGGGGCAGGTCCAGAGCCATGGGCTGAGTCTGGGGGCAGCAGGGTGGTTGGGAGGAGTCGTCCCCAGGCCACAAGTCTGTGAGGTTGGTGGCTGCCCTGAGAGGGGAGGGGCCAATGCTTGGCCCTGTTGCTGGGGAATTTGATCTGGGTGGGGAGCTGGGACAATAGATGCTAATCTCTGACCCACCACTGCCTAGCTAGGACCTTGACCTTCACGCCTCTGTGGACCTGTACTTCTTCCCAGGGAACACGGGGCAGAAACCTCTTCTCTGCTACCCTTCTTCCCAGGTTTGCTTTTGGGATCAAAATGAGATGTGGATGTGACTCTTATTTTTTTGGTAGAATGTAGCATGACATTTACGTGGAAGGAATTTACCTTCCTGATTATTTTCACAATGATTTTGAAACTGTCACTGGCTGTATAAATTATAAGTATTTATTATTCTGATTAATCTGTGATAATAATCAGACGGAGACTTGTATAAAATAGCGGGACCTAGCTCATAGGGTTGTGGTGAGGACACAGAGGAATGCATGAGCGACCTGGCCCTGAGCCTGGCCCCCAGTCCAGGGAGCTCTCACTATTCATATTTAGGACGATCATGATTTTGCAGCATTTTTCTCTGGTCACCACCCTCCCTGCACCCCCCACCGACCCCACCTTGGGTGCTGAGTTGGAAGTGCATTTAACAGAAATGTTTGGCCTTATGGCATAATTTTATTCCTTTTATCCACAACTCCTGAGTGTGAGGGTGGGAAAAGGAGGGAGTCCCACTACTTGTACCTACTTGACCCTGCAGAGTGGGTGCCTGAGGGGCTGGGTGAAGGGGAGGCTGCTGAAAATCACCGCCCAGGCCCCTTACCACATTCTCCGTGGTCATGTTGTTGACTGTGGAAGTTGGTCACACAGGAGGGACTACAATACAGGGGACTGTGACTTCTGCTGCCTAGTAATCAGAGACGGCTTCCCAGAATTGAAGGAAGGGGAGGCATTTACCTGGAAGGGCTGTGTGATAGGGACACCAGGTGTGAAGCCCTCAGGCGTGTTTGGGAGGTGATGGCCCCTGGAGCATGAGGCCCCTGTGGAAAGGAGGGATGGGGGAGGAGGAAGCCCACTGGCCTGGCTGCAGGGCCAGATGTGCAGGCCAAGGTGCGCTACCTTTGCTCTGAGGGCAGAGGAGTCACTGGGGGCCAGGCTTTCAGCAGAGTCCCCATGTGCATTTACAGAGTTCCCTCTGGCCCCCTGAACTTTTGGGGAGAATGGAACTGAGTTTTCTACTTTTCTTCCAGGCTGTGATTTCAAGTCCCTTCAAACTTGAAAATCCCATGTATTTTCTTAGGGTGGGACTCGTGTGTGTGTGTGTGCGTGCGTGCGTGCGTGCGTGCGTGCGTGCGCATGTGTGTGTACTGTAGGTGGAAGTTTACAGAGCAAATTAGTTTCTCATTAAACAGTTAATACACAAATTGTTTTGTGACATTGGTTGCCAACCCCACAATGTGTCAACACTCTCCCCTTCTCCACCCTGGGTTCTCTTATTTTCGTTCTTCCAGTTTTCCTATCCCTTCCTGCCGTTTCTTCTTTGCTTTTGCGCTGGTGTGCCCATTAGTCTCCTATACGTGAATTGAACTAGGAAGCACTTTCCTCACATGTATTATTGTTGACCCTATTGACCTATCTAATCTTTGGCTGAAGGGTGAACCTCAGGAGTGACTTCAGTACTGAGTTAAAAGGGTGTCTGGGGGTCATACTCTCAGGGTTTCTCCAGTCTCTGTCAGACCAGCAAGCCTGGTCTTTTATTTTGTAGATTTGAATTTTGTTTTACATTTTTCTCCCAGAACCCTCTATTGTGATCCCGGCCAGAGCAGTTGTTGGTGGTAACCAGGCACCATCTAGTGGTTCAGGGCTCAGTCTGGCAGAGGTTGTAGTAATTGTGATCCACTAGTCCTTTGGACTAATCTTTCCCTAATGTCTTTAGTGTTCTTCATTCTCCTTTGCTCCAGCTGGGATGAGACCAGTAGATGTATCTTAGATGGCTGCTCGGAGGCCTTTAAGACCCCAGATGCTACTCACCACAGTCAGATGTAGAACATTTTCTTTATAACCTATGTTATGCCAATTGAGCTTGATGTCCTCTGAGACCATGGTCCCTAGCCCTCAGCCCAGTAGCTTGGTCTCTCAGGGCTTTTGGATGTTGTCTGTGAAGCTTCTATGACTTTGCCCTGGTCAAGCTGTGCTGACTTCCCCAGTATTGTGTACTGTCTTCCTCTTCATCAAATAGGCTGAAACTCTTGAAAGGCAGAGAAACTGAGGCCGAGAGGAGAAGGCACGTGTCCTCAGTCGTCTAGTGAGCTGGTAGCAGAGCTAGGCTGGGACCTAGGAGTCCTGCTTTCCAGCCCAGGACCCTGTCTGGTACCTTTGAAAGAGCCGTGGTGACATAGTGGTCAAGCACTTGGCCGCTAACCTAAGCCTTATGAGGACCAGCCGCTCCACAGGAGAAAGATGTGACAGTCGGCTTCTGCTGCTGTAAAGATCACAGCCTTGCAAACCCTATGGGGCAGTTTCACTCTCTCCTATGAGTCAGGTTTGGTGTGCTGCCTTTGACCTCAGCCTAATGAGCTACACTAGAATCTCTGACTCTCTCCTTTGCTTTTCCGGAACTCTCAGGCACCTCCTGGCCTGGCCATAAGATTTGTGCCTCTTGGGTTCCCCCCTCCCACGCCTTCCTCTTTCTCCTTTGTCAAGTGGGTGGGGAAGGAGGCCAGCCTCAAAAGGGCCTTTGTGAGGTCTCGAGTGTGGGGAGGGTGGGGGACACTTGAGCTCTCTGCCCTCCTCTGGCTCCCCCTCCCTCACTGCCCCTGTCCTGACCCTCTACTGCTCTCCAGCTATCACCTGGGATGTTTTAGATCCATAGCTCTGGAAGGAGGCTAGCCAGCCTGGTGTTCCCCTGCTGTGTGACCCTGGATGAGTCACCTGCCCTCTCTGAGGCCTTTCCCAGCATGTTCAGGAGTCCTGCCACACCTCCATTCTCTTTCACTGCCTTTCTCACTGGGCACCTGCTATGCACCCCATCCTGTTCTAGACACTGAGGCTGGAGAGGTGGCACAGACCTGCCCCTGCCTTGGATGTGAGAGTAGGTGACAGTGTGTGGTTAGTGTTGACATAACAGCAGTTGGGAGATTGAGTCTCAGCTGGGAGGCAGTTCAAGGCCAGACAGGGGCTGAATGGTGTTAGATGAGGAGTGAGACTGAGTGGACGGGGTGTGATGGATGGTCCACATCACTGCTGAGATTAAAAAAATCATGGGTGTGCCGTAGAGCCTGCTGGTTGGAGGCAGGGCTGGTGTAACAGGCAGGCCCCAGGCTCCTCTCACAGGATGAGGGTTTGTGGTGCAGGAAATCAAGCCCATCTTGATTCAGGCGGGCGGGGCCAGCCCAGCCTGGTTGACCATTAACTCCCATCTGTTTGGCCAATGAGATGGAACTTTGGCCTGAGGCAGCTGTGTTTCTATGGAGTCCAACTTTCTGGGTCCTGTGACCTGATTGTTCACAGCTAGAGAGAGCAAAAAGCCAACTTTTTTCTGAAGCCCTGGAGAGGCCCTTCTTCACTTCCATCCCGCTCCAGCTCGCTATCTTTAAGTTGCTCGTTATCACTGCTTCCATGTTCCTGAATGATCTCCTTGGCAGCTCCCTGCCTCTCTCCCTGTCTTTGTCCCAAAATGAAAGAAGGAGGCTGGTTTTTTGTTTTTGTTGTTCTTTCATTTTTTAAAATAATTTATTTATTTTTGTTGTTGTTAAAAATATACACAGCAAAACATGCACCAATTCAACGATTTCTACATGTACAATTCAGTAATGTTGATTACATTCTTTGAGTTGTGCAACCATTCTCACCCTCCTTTTCTGAGTTGTTCCTCCCCCATTAACATAAACTCACTGCCCCCTAAGCTTCTTACCTAACCTTCAAGTTGTCAGTTTGATCCCATATAGATAGTTCTTTAAAAGAGCACAATGCTCAAGGTAGACATTCTTTACTAATTAAGTTAAACTATGGTTTGGTTTGAAGAAGACTTCAGGGGATATTTTTGGCTTAAGGTCTAAGGTTTACAGATTATCTCAGGGCAATAATTTCAGGGGTTTGTCTAGTCTCAGTGGCTCCAGAAAGTCTGGATGTCATGAGAATTTTAACTTCTGTTTCCTATTTTCCCCCTTTGATCAGGATTCTTCTATAGAATCTTTGATCAAAATGTTCAGTAATGGTAGTTAGTCAGGCACCATCCAGTTCTTCTGGTCTCATAGCAAAGGAGGCCATTGTTCATGGAAGCAATTAGCCACACATTTCTATTTCTAAGGAGGCTAGTTTTTGAACTAGATAGCCTTGACCCTACCTTACTGGAGGTTGGCATGAACAAGTCACTTCCCCTCCCTGGACCTCAGTTTCCCCATCTGTAAATGGGAGGAATAATTCTTGCAGATTATGGTTTTTGGAGGTCGAAATGACTTGAGGTATCAGATACATGGGAGGCAGGTGACAAGCTTTATTTAGTTCCCCTCTCCTATCCACCTTCTCCTTGCCAGCCCTGTGCTGGGGACCCAGAACTGCGACATCCCATCTCTTATGGACTCTGCAGGTGAGCCACTCCTTGTGCTCCTCAGTCCCCACCCCAGGACACCAGCCACAGGCCCACGCCCTCTCCCTCCTGCCAAGGTTCATTGTTTGTTCTTTCCAGTTCAGTAAACATCTGCTGGCCCTCCCTCAGACCTGGTCAGGGATGTAAGAGGTGAAGAGGATGGTTAACGAGGTGGTGAGCTCAGGGGGAATCCCAAGAGTATGACCAGGCCCGCTTAGGCCCAGGACCTTAGCAAGGAAGGGCCTCCTCTCATCCCTGTAGGAGCAGAGTGCCCATCTCTCTGCCTGTATCCAGCACTCTGCCACTCCCTGTCCTTGGAGATAAGCCTGG